TTTTTCTTGCAGTGGCTTTACTGAATTGCGCTTATCACCGAGCTCCGAGCGATACTTAGTAAAATAATTGCCTTAAGTGTACTCATTTTCTATGACCTTAGAAATTTGTATTTTGAAAGTAATGCATTGCATGCATTGGCAGCGGCGGCTGGCAGTTGCTATCGTTCCTTTTGCACCCATCCAGTTCGTACTACTAACGCCGAATAGCACACCTTGTTCACGAAATAGAAAAGAAAATTTTTTTGGGAAAAAGAGGTTGTTCTATGATCCTTCAAGCTCATCAAGTAATTCGAACAACAAAACACTGGCAGCCGCTAATCGGAGCCGGCTTGAAATTTGCAAACATTTCAGCTGCATTCTAAATGTACTTATTCTGTCGTTCTCCCGCCTTCCGCTACATCATTATTCGACAGCGAGAATGCAAAGCAGCTGAAAGTGCACGCCATTGAACAGTGTTGATGATTTTGTGGTTGCTGTCCATGTCCTCCAGGATCCTATAGTCTAAGCGGAATACGCTTGAAGTAACAACTTTCATTTGATCAGCATTTTTATCATTTTCTCCCACAGTTATCGACTGAATAGGGCTGAGTAGAAAATAATTTTAGAAAACGCTGCACTTATTGAGTTTGATGCTCATGTCGAAACTCATGGGTGTCACAGACTCAGGGAACCTTGGTGTACTTTACATCAAAGCTGTATATATACCTCGCCTATTTCGGTTATTTGAAAGGGTTTATTATGTTATTTTTGAAACTGGTTCACCATCTTTCATACACTGGTGTTACAGGGGTGATACAGGGGTAATACACTTCGCTCAAACAAGGCAACTTTCATGTACCATACAACTGATCCGCACAAATCTCAAGAGACTCTTCACGCTCGTGTTTAAATCTTGTCATCATCTTACCGCATGCTCAGCATCTCGCAAGTAGAGCAGACAAGCGTTATTTGCCAACTTTTTTATTGCAATGTTTGCTGAATAATCGTCGAAGGTCGAAGCCTCATGTTCGACTCTGGATGACTCATAGCGGATGCAGCGTCTTGCTTGATCGATACAGCATTTTATTCGTGTTTCCATAGTTTCTTTGTACTGAAGACAGTTTAGCCAAGCTAACAGCACCTAGCTCGATGTATTGTGTCCTGTCATCATCATAATGCGCTTCACTCGTGTTTTCACCTATTCCAGTATTCAATTCGAAGCACACCAGTTATCACGTGTAGCAATGCGATCCCCTCGTTCTGTAAAACGACCACACACTAATCATCACACGACCAATGTCAGAAGGAATAGAGGCAAGCAAGTGAAGAATTCGCGATTAAGGCAAAAGCAGTGGTGAGATATTGTGTCCGCGGACTTCAATAGATGTTCAATAAAGCGAGCGAAGATCTTCTTAGGGCCCATACTCTCGTTTATAGTCCTGATGTGGCAGAGAAGCGCCAGTTATTCACTCATACCATAATTCCCACCAAAGAGGTGACCTAACACAGTGATGATGTGTTCCAAGGTAAACGTTACGTTATCCAGGTAAGCGAAGAGGAACGTACTCGTCGTGCGGAAAGGAAGAAGGAGAAAAAGTTGATCGCCAAGCAAATTGACGACGAGGCCCGACGCTTGGAGCTGGAAAGGAAAGAGAAAGAGGTGGTTTTTTTTATCTACTAAATCAATAAATTCCAAGATTCTCTGTAGAGAGAAGAACGTAAACGCAAAATAGAAGAGGAACAAAGGCGCCAGGAAGAGCTCGAATATCAAAAATGGCAAGAAATGCAGAAAAAAAAGGAAGAGGAATTGAGGAGAGCAGAAGTTGAACGTAAAGCTGCTGAAAAAAAAGCTGCAGAGGAGAAGAAGAAAGATGCCAGCCAAGCAGCAACACAACCCGTGAGCAGTTTCTCTCTTTCAGACTTGGATCATCCGTTTATTGCCATTCATTCATAGGAGCTGAAAAAGGAGAAGGTAAGGAATGAGAAAAAGCCAGTGGAAGCTGAGAAAACGGCCACCGATACTACACTTAGAATGGTGAGTACTGATGAGAAAAGTGTCGTTCATAGTACGATGGCATGCAAATGTGCACTGCTTCTCAGCAATGTTATCAAAGTGCGTATCCATTTTTTCAGGAGCGATCCTCACCCACTGAGGTGCCTACCGCTGCAGTCCCAAAATCGACTGTCGAGGTTTGCTGTTTTTACTTTACTTGTAGAAAATGCAGCAGCGCTTTTTCTGACAGTCAAAATTTGCCTGATTGCGTACAAGACAGCTAGTAGTGGTTGTTAGCTTGCTTTCATTTTCTTTACTTGTCTTTTCAGACCGAGAAAAAGAAGAAGAAGAAGGAAAAGGGGCTTAGTGGTGATAAATCAGAAGAAGCTACTCGCGAAACTGAAGAACAGAAAGAACATCACGTTGGAAGAAAGCAGAAAGATCACGATGTGGAGAAAAGTCCAGAAGAGCACGGCGCTGGAAAAAAGCAGAAAATTGGCAAACCTGAAACTGAGGAGGAAGTGTTAATTTCGAGGAAGCACCAAGAGCCTGACGTCCGTACCAAGCAGAAAGACGATGATGTTAAGAAACCGGAGATGTCATCTTCCGAGGAAGTTAAGGGACAAGGTGGGGTGAAGGAGCAGATGGAGTCTGATTCTGAGAAGAGGCAGACGAAAACTAGCCATGAGTATGATGAAAATCCCAATCTCGATAAAACGGACAAAGGATCCAGTGTCAAAAAGACGCAGTCCAGAGAGAAGAAGCAGGTCAACCTCGACGATCCATCTGATGCGGCAGAAGAGAAGCGTTCGCCAGTCGATGCTGTTCCTGTCGAAAAACATGACGACGAGAAGGTGAGCATATACGATTGAGACAGACTCTGTACCTTTTTTACTTTTTGAATTAAGCATTCGAGGAATAAAGGTGACAAGAAGAAGAAAACTAGCGAGAACGAGTCGTCTGTGCTCAATAACGGACACGACGAAGGGGTTGCTGACAGTGCCCGTGACGACAAAATTCATCAACATCACGATGATGAACATGTAAACCATGAGGTATTTATATACACCCCTTAAAGGCAGTGTCCGGGCAAAAACTCGATTTTGAG